TATTTTTACTCTTCATTTTGCCAGTTTTTAGTCTACGTGAGTTATTTTATGTGATTTTGAACGTCATGTCTGTTGGTTTCATCTGCTTGTTACAAGACTTTTCTTTGGCCTGAAGTCAAATTTTACCCATTTGGATGCTAATCTGATTTTGAGATGCACAAAACACTGCAGAAAATAGCCAGAGTGGAAACATTTAATTGGAAAACTGTATTTTGGTATATTTTTTTAATCTTGTTTTTCTTTAGTTTGCCTTCCTACCTTGTACTTTGGTGTATTTTTACTCTTTAGTCTGACAGTTTTTCAGTCTATAAGAGTTACTTTATGTGCTTTTGAGCATATTTGTTGATTTAATTAGACTTTTCTTTGGCCTGAAGTCAAATTTTTCCCATTTGGATGCTAATCTAACATTGAGATGCACAAAACACTACAGAAAACAGCCAGAGTGGAAACATTTTATTGGAAAAATCATATTTCAGTGTATTTTTTACCTTTGCTTTCCCAGTTTTTCAGTCATCCCGAGTTACTCTATGGGCTGCACTGTTGGTACTTTCCTTCCTCCTCCACTAGAAATGCTCTTCTACAGGAAACAGTTGGCCTCTGCTGATCTGAATGCAGCCCTATGGTGCCCCATGCTGATGAGCTATATATAATTAGTTGTGTCTATAGGACAGGCCCCTGTAAAAGCCATTCACCACAGCGCCGTGATATAATGGACCAAATGTTTTAAGATCCTGTCTTGATGCGCTCGCGGAGCCCATTCTATATCTGTAAGAGGACAGATGGCCGTCCCTGTTGGTGCGAATCTCCACAGCTTCTCCAAACTAATACACCCGGCATATGGACACGCATGGCGGGGTGGGGACTGGCACCGGGCCCTCAGGAGAGCACGCTGACAGGACAAGGAAGATGCAAAATGTGGTGCAGTTTACTAAAAAAATAAAAAATAAAAAATAATGCTGCTGGTCCCCGGAAACACTCAAGACCCAAAACCCTTAGCAGGCACATTTCACTTACATAAATGTTCCTGCGTCTCAGGAAAGTGAACCTGCAGGGTGGAAGCCAACGCCAGAGATTAGGTCACGCCTTCCGTGGAGGGGGGGGGCAGCGTCATGGCGACAGTCTGCCACGGGCCATTAGGACGAGGGCAGAGGGGCAGTTTATCCTCATTTAGGACAACCTTGGATGAAAGGTATCTGGATGATTCCCTCGCCTCTGTTCTGCTATCAGAGTGTACTTGAGCTCTCCTTCTGCTCTGCCCACCCACCCCCACATCTCTGGACCCGGCCCAGCTGAAGGGATTAATGGCCTTCTGAAGGAATATCACAGGGAATCAAAAACCCGCTACCGGAGCAAATTGATTTTACAGCCGCCGCGTCGATGCCATCCACCTTCAGCTGGATGCAATCGGTCTGTACGATAACGTTGAGACACACGGGAGGCGCGTGGATTCTGCGCCTGTCTCGAGGTGTTTAGCCATGTCAGAGCAGGGCTGGGAGAGCGGCACATGGTGGGAAGAGAAATGGCAGCTGCACACGCTCTGTACTGCCATCATGTGGCGTCGGCGCTGAACTGCAGCTCACGAGAGAGGTTTCATGTTGAGGTATTGATCCTCACAGGGGGGGGAATGTACATGTTGCAGCAGGTGGATACGGATGAGACCTGAAGGAAGCAATAAGTACACAGATAAAAATCTAAGAAAAGAAAAGACAAAATTCACAACAGTGACTCAAATAATTAGAAACTGAAAGAAGTAATAATAAATAAAAATTTGCTAAATTATAGTTTAGTGAAATAAGACATTGATTTTGAATTGTGGAGGAAAAGAATCATTTAAAAAATAAAACTGTACCAGACAAATCAGAGCACTTTGCTGATGAGCAGTGAAATCCAAACACCTGTCAACAGGTGTAGAAGTCTGACTGAGAGTTACAGAAACACCTCATGATGGCAGTGATTGGCTCAAAGGGTTGTTCAACTAAATATTAGTTCACGGGTCCCATCAGGCTTGTTTTTAAAAATATTTCTGTTGAAACACAATTCAAAAACAATGTCATGACGTTCATTAAATTTTTTATTTATTATTACTTATTATTACTTTTAGCTTATTTCAGTGACTGAAGCTGTTGTTTTCCTTCTTTAATGGGAGGATATGAACACATCTGAGGACGACTGGATGTAGCTTTACGATGGGGGTTTAAGATGCTTCTATTTTGCTTTAGTTCCACATTTAATGCATTTTTTTTTCTTTACAAATGATGACATGAGTTCAACAGTTTGAGGAAAATGCCTGACAAATGTCCATGAATGTTGGACTATTTCAGTATGTTTGCCTCGAAGGGCGGCTGTGGCTCAGGTGGTAGAGCAGGTTGTCCTCCTTGGTGGTTCAATCCCCCACCCCTCCACAGTCCAAGTGTCCTTGAGCAAGAAACTGAACCCAAAGTTGGTCCCAATGGCAGGCAGCACCTTGCATGGCGGCTCTGTCGCCATTGGTGTATGAATGAGAAACACATTGTAAAGCGCTATATAAGTGCAGACCATTTACCTTCTTCTGCTTTAATTAACTGCATCAACTCCACAAGTTTGTTTGAACCTGATACGTCGAGTTCATGATGTGACGACGTTTCAAAAACCTTGTAAAATCAGGTGAATCCGTCAAGTCAAAGCTTCCAGGTGTGTTTCGGTTCATTATTCTGCTGCAGCATCAATTTAAGATGCAAACCAGAAGGTGGAATCTGTTTCTGAAGAACAAAAAGCTGCTTCTTCTTGGTCACCAGGCTTGAATATTCCCACCATCATGCTTCATTGTAGGGCTGCAAGGTGGCTCGGTGGTTAGTATCATTGCCTCGCAGCCAGACGGTCGTTGGTTCGCGTCCCGGTGAGGACACCCGTGATCTTTCTGTGTGGAGTCTGCATGTTCTCCCCGTGCAGCGTGGGTTCTCTCCGGGTTCTCCGGCTTCCTCCCACAGTCCACAAACATGCTGAGGTTAATTGGTGATTGTAAATTGTCCGTAGGTGTGAATGTGAGTGTGCTTGGTTGTCTGTCTCTAAGTGTAGCCCTGTGATAGACTGGTGACCTGTCCAGGTGAACCTGCCTTCACCCTGAGTCAGCTGGGATAGACTCCAGCCCCCCATGATCCTAGTGAGGATTAAGCGGTGTATAAATGATGGATGGATGATGATTTGTGGAAATGATCTCACACTTCTACTTCGTTCTGGTTCTGGTTTCCTGATTTCACAATGCTGCTTAGTGAGCAAAGACTTGCTGGAAACTTGAGTCACAACCTTCTTTAGAACAAGTTTGTGAAAAAAAAAACTAAAATATTTATTCATTTTTACCAGACAGAACTTCTTGTATTGCATCTAAATCCTCAAACTTTCTGATTATTTTCCAGGTTTACATGAAAATACGTCAGATCGTTTTCGCAAAACTCCGACGACTCGTGGAAAACGTTTAATTTGAGGTTTTTTTATTTGGAAAATTAAGTCTCAAAAATTCAAGATACATTTGAATAACAAGTGCACACAAATTCAAAGTGAGGTGTGATATATGGCATAATAACGCTTAAGATCAGTTTAGTTCAAACCAACGAGAACCAGCAGCAGGAAAAATCCATATCAGCAAAAGGTGACAAGTTCAAGTAAGACATGTAATTACAAGTTCGTTAGTCCTTTAAGTTAAAAGCAGTTCAAAAGAGGAAAAAAAAAACATCTTAAAAGACAGTTAATGAGCAGTTATTTATCGACAGGAAACTTCAAAATGTCAAGCATTAAAACTACAACATAACATCTGCTTCGTGTGCATCGTACAACTTAAATAGATCCTGAAAATATTTAACAAGTTCTTTTGTTTTATTTTTTTTTTACAAAGCTTTTTAACACTGATGAACAAAAAATAACTCCACAAAGGAATCACAAATTATTAAAAAAAAAAAAAAAAAAAAGAATAAATCGCACATTCTCACAATTAACACTATAAAAACTAAATCAGCGAGAAGCAGTTTTGGCCAAATTCACTCGATTATTTCAGCACTTTGTTTGATTTACTTCCAGTTACATGGAGGAGGTAACGAGACGTACCTGAACCCACTCTAGTCTAAACTAAGCCACGTCACGGAAATGTCTAAATTACGGGAAGGGTCGGAGGCCGGCGGAGCCTGCAAAGCGAAGCCTCCGAGCTAGAGGCGGGAAAACTAACACCCTGTGGAAACTACGGCGGCGGCGGCGGCGGCGTTTAAAGATTATGTACAACATGGAGGCTGCAGTCCGTCGGCATCGCTGACTGTTACGAGTTAGTTGGCTCAGTTACAGTTCATAAATATTGGAACGAGCGACTACCTACAAAATCTACATCCTAATCCTGGCATTTGTGGCATCCGGAAAGAAAAACAAAAAAACATACACATACAATCCAAAAAACTACTTTACACCACATGTCCAGTATGCGTCGTCGTCTCCTTCCTCCCCCTCAGCTGGACATGATTACATCACTGACGGCACTGACCAGAGGAGTATATTCGTGGTACATTAAAGAGGAACAATTTCAAGGTGCATACAAGTTATTTTTTTTGCCGCACAAGTCATTTGGTAGTGGAATGAGATCAACGAGGTCGGTCTGTGCGGGCGTCATGCAGAGATAGCGGGGCCGCAATCGGGAAACCTGGAACTCGAATCGAGGCCTTTGTCGCGAGTCGTCCTTTCATACACGAGTGTCCGGGTGTTCCGGGTTGAGCTCCGGATGTCTGGACAGGTTGTTTCTCAGGTGAAGGGTTTCTCTGTCGGGTGCTTCGTGCGCTCGTCCGTTCGGTGTTGTTTTAGTGGTTCGGTGGTTGTGTTTGTGAGCCTGAGTGTCGGCCTCTACGTGTGCATGATTTTGCTGTGTTTTGTACCAGTGTGTTGAAACTGCATCTGCTGCACCGACGACGGGGGACCAGACTATAGGAAAGCACTCGGGTTCGCTCGCGGGTCCTTCTGGTTCCTGTAGCGCACGGCGAGCCAGACTCCCAGGATCTGCCGGGGAAGGATCGCACAGGTCAGAGAAGTCAAAGGAAGGAAACTTGCGACTAAAATGGGTGCATATGTGACCTTTTATTGATTGTGTGATGATCATTTAGCTGACCGGGCAGTATAAAGCAATATTAATTAAAAATGAATCCGTAAAAGTAAAGGCTAATAAAAGTAGAAATATAAAGACAAATAAATAAAATAGTAAAAACAATAACATATATATTTTTAATGTATTTTTTTATTTTTATTTTTTTAAAATTGTATTTATTTTTTTCAATATTTTTCTCTTTTTTTTCTATAATATTTTTTAAATTTTTTTTATAATGTTGCTTTAAAAGCAAAGGAAATATGCGCAGAAAAATGTGTGCAGTAGGAATGTCATTGTGCGCATATTTCCTTTGCTCTTATTGCATTATAAAAAAATTAATAAAAAAAATCCCAAAAAAAATTTAAAAAAATAAAATTGAGAAAAAAAATTTAAAATAAAAAGAATTTTAAAAACTATAGAAATAAATAAAAAAAATAAATGAATAAAATATAAATATTTTATTTATATATCTACTTTTATTAGCTTTTTCTTGTATGGATTCATTTTTAATTAAAATTGCTTTACATTACCACATTATTTATTTTTCATTTTCTTTATTCTTCTTTTTTATTTCCATTTTTATTTTATTATTATTCTTTTATTGATTTTTTATATTTGTAATTTGGCACTCTCACTACTCCAAACTGTTTTTGCTTCAAAAATTCAAATATAATGTGTTGAAAGTCACAAACTGCATCTCCGAATAAAAAAAGTTAATGATGAACAACCGTTGTTGAATGAATTACTTTTGTTTAAAACCTAAAACATGAACAAAAAACATGAAACTATGGACACGTGTTTATCAACCTTAGCCTCATGAATATGCTAATTAGGTACATAAAACATAAACATTCCTTTTAAATAATGCGGTAAAAACACAGTTCTGGTTACTTTATGTTCAGGGACTCTGACTGTGAGGAGGAGGTGCATGAAATCAAAGCTGCTGCTACAGGACGAGCTGGAAATCTGAAATCTTTGCTCCTCCGAGAAGCCGACTGTTTACGAGACGGTGCCGAAATAACTCCGACGTTTCTGCGAGTCGGACGCTCACCTCTGTGAAGCTGAAGAAGAGTCCGACGCCCCCGAGGATCTTCAGAGCTTCTGTCGCATGATTCAACATCCTCTCCCCGCAGGTCAGACACTCACCTTCCTTTGTGCACGGCTGCAGCCAAAGACACAGAAAACGGAAGAAAAGAGCTGCGTGAGTCAACGAATCTGTCAGCTAGGCTAGCGTTAGCTTCCAAAATCTATTCTGAGAAGAACTGTAAGTCAGTGGCCTACTTTCTCTCTCTCTTCTTTTTTTTTGCACTTAAAAGAGAAACGCTTTTATTCAGCGGGACATATTGTGTAACTGGAAATATCCTGTAAAATCTGCAGCGTTGATCTGCGATGCCGACTTTATATAAAGTGGATAAACCGGATGTTGAATGTTACGCAACCATTCAAGTGTGGAGCTGTTCTTCCTATTGTTTGTCTTTGTTAAAGATGTGATGTTCAGGACTCACAGAGGGGCAGCTTCGCACGTCCTGTTCAAACTGCGCGTAGCTGCCGGTGACGTTGAGCAGCCCGCAGCAGTTCAGCTGGCTCTCCAGGTCCGTCTTGGTCTTGTTCTCCAACATTCCCCAGGCAGACTTCAGAAGCACCTCCTGGAAGAGCAAAACGGGGCGAATGAAACACAGTAAAAGAATTCAGAAATACGTTTAGCTTTAATTAAGCGCCGCGTTAGCTCACCTGCTGCCCACGGTTCATCGCCAAGCAGGAGCACGAAACGCCGAACTGGAACAGGAACACGATGAACAAGATCACCATGTACTGAGGGGACGAGTTAAAGAAGCCAGAGAGCGACCACGAGACAGAAACAGCAGCGTAGGACAGACAGAAAGCTTCACGCCGTCACCATTAGGTCACGGTTTTCCTACTAGAAGCACCTTTTGTATGTAAATGAATCATCAGGAGGGAGCAACAGACACTAAATAAAGCTTCTTCTTGTTCAGTGAAACCAACTATTGACTCATTTTACTAAAGAAAAGATCGTTCGGACTCTCCTGTGCTGCTGAAGTCCAGCGTTTCTGACGAAGGCGATTCAGAGGAGGAGTCAGCAGGTGGTCTCGTGTTGGAAAAGGCAGAAATGGCTCCTGCAGATAAACTGGCTGATGTATGAAAACTTTTAGCGTATCTATTGTTTACGGTGCAAACACGACTGCAAACTCTAAACTTGAAGCTATTGTGAAGCGTGATTAAAGCATTAACGGGACTTTTTTCCTCTTGATGTGTTGCACGACGACGAAAGTTGACGACTTCATCTTGAGCTGACAAAAAAAAAAAGGTTTTCTTTTTGTTAATACACTAAGAAAAGTGGTTTTGCTTTCTTGTACTGTGAGCTCGAAGCAGACAATGATGAAAAAACATGATGAAAAAGTTCCAGACTCGACGCCTCTGTACGCTGAAACCGGGTCTATTCCAGAAACGAAGCTCCCTGCAGTGCAGCAGCTTGGCCCACGTCATCATTGTCTTATGTAGGGCTTTTATCCAAAGCTGATCTATCCATAGCCGCCATGCAAGGTGCTGCCTGCCATTGGGAGCAACTTTGGGTTCAGTGTCTTGCCCAACGACACTTGGACTGTGGAGGGGCCGGGGATCGATTGGAGGACAACCCGCTCTACCACCCGAGCCACATCTAAGCACCTCTTGGTTTCACTTTCTTCTAAATGCAGAAATACAAAACCATTAATAAGTCTTATTTGTTTCTATCAGTCAATTTCCTTTCATGTGTTTTTTTCATTCTTGCGTTAACATCTAAATCGTTACCTCGATGAATCGGATAAAGTGGCTCAATTACAATCTTTTATTTTTTTTCTCTGGCTATAATTAAAAATTATTTCAAAATGAGCAATAATTATCGGTTATATTTACCGACATGAAACATTTTATCGTAACAGACGTTTCAGCGATACTGCCCAGCCTCATGATCACTTCTTCCTCTGACACTCGTCAACGCTTCTAAATGTAAATATCACACATTTAACGGACATCGATGCTGCTGAACACGTTATTTTTGTTTGTTTGTTTTTAGGCCTATAGGAGCAAAAACATGAACTAATAATGAAAGTCCCGCACCACATGCAAAGGCCACATGATGAGGCACATTGTAAAATATAAATGCCCTCCCTCACAGCTGCTCATGAACCGTCAGCGCTAGACGGCTGAGCTAAGTGCAGACATCCTCTTTGATTATCTCTTTGAAGACTCTCAGGGCAGGAACTGAAAGTCTGCTCACTTCTGGTTGACACAACGTCCACCTGAGACCTGCA